TGTATCTTGAGGCCATCTAACTAAAGAATATAGTTCATGGTCTTTTTAACTAAAAAGTTGCTTTGACTTGGCTCTAAGTCCCCAGTTTCTTTCCGTGGATTTAAGATTCAATTTCCCGCAATCTATCGTGTTAAATTCATACCCTTTCGTGTTAAATTCATACCCATTTTACTGTTATAGGCAGGATCTTTGAAAATTTTCAAATTTCTAGCTGTGAAAATCTTGGAAAGTGAGAGGGTTTTTTGGTAGGGGTGCTCGTTTATTCTTGTAGCCTTGTCTGTAACAGCAAGGATTAGTGATATAGTAATTGCGAATAGGGATAAGGGTAAAAGTCGGCAGACAAAAGTGAAGAGGTACTGGCCTGGAAAAGTACCGTAGTGGGCGGATGATAATGACGAAGATGGGGATATTAGGATGGAAAGGGTGGCCGCGATCGAGACAGCATTGCCGAGTCATGTGGAGACTTATTTTATGCGGAAGGATGATGCTAGACTACGTCGTTTGGCCGAGAGTAGGGTCGATAATCGTGAGGAGGTAAGGGAAGACCATAGGCGTATTAGGCAGGCAGAGATTGTGTTGACGATACAGGACAAAAGGAGGAGGGAAGATGGAGTAGATTTGGAGGATGAGGATGCATTCCAGGAACGGAGAAGAAGGATTAGGGAGAGGTTGTTGCAAAGGCAACAAGAGGAGGCAGCACTACACCTGAGGAAGTTGAGGAAGAGGAGGAGTCTGAGTACGAGATTGATTCTGAAGAAGAAACAACAGGAATTGCGATGGTGAAACTGGTTTTTGTTCCTAAATCTGAGAGAGAGACAATTGTAGAACGTGAGAGGCTTGAGGCAGAACAGATCTCACTCGAGGAAGCTGTGAAAATGAGGATGGAAGAGAGGACGGTGGAGACTAAGCAAATTGTGGTTGACAAAATTCAGGAGGACCAGGAGATTCAGAGGAATATGGAGTCTGAAGCAAATATTGCTGATGTGGATACAGATGATGATGTTTATGAGGCGGAGGAATATGAGGACTGGAAGGCTAGGGAGATTGCGAGGATCAAGAGGGATAGAGATGAGAGAGAGGCAAGGTTGACGGAGAAGGAGGAGATTGAGAGGGTAAGAAACATGACAGAGGAAGAGAGGAGGGAGTGGGAGAGGAAGAATCCAAAACCTTCTCGAAAATCCAAGCCAAAGTGGAGGTTCATGCAGAAATACTACCATAAAGGTGCTTTCTTCCAGTCATATCCTGATGATCATGCTGGAACTGCCAAAGCTGATAATATTTACGCTCGTGATTTCTCTGCTCCAACTGGAGAGGATAAGATGGACAAGGCCATATTGCCCAAAGTCATGCAGGTTAAGCACTTTGGTCGTAGTGGAAGTACAAAATGGACTCATCTTTACGAGGAGGACACAACTGATTGGAATAACCCGTAAGTACTTCTTACTTAATCATTCCATTTGGATTAGGAATTTTGGAAGTACGTAGATGAAATATAGTACGTTCACAGTAGTAAATGCTATTGAATTTTGGACATCAGATGTGCTGTCAGTTGATTGTATTGTTTGCTCTATAAACAACTCAATCTTGTTTTTGAAATCGACAAGAGAAACAATTCAGATATTTATTAAAGATAAATAAGAGCAATTCTAATGTAAATAATATACTGAATTCTACTTTCCAGAGTAAGTAATGCGATGGTAAAAATCTTCCCTTATATCCAATTCGTATATATATTTTTTTCATTATGGTCATCCATTTTTGCTAATTTAGAAAAGAATGAAGTTAAGTTGTCCACAAAGGAAATTAAGGCAAGGAGGAAGGTTTAAAACAAGGCAACTTAAAAGCATATGAAACGAATATGTGAGAGCTGCTTTAAGATTTGTTTTTGCATGTCATATAATACCATATCACGTAATAAACAAACTACTACGTATTATATTATTGAGACATGCTAAATCGCATACTGAACAGAAGTAGCCTAGGGTGCAATATATGTGAGAGCTGCTTTTGAAGCAAGAATTTCATGGCTTCAGTTCAAGTATAGTTGCTCAAGCCGCACTGCTGGAATACTACTTTCTGAATATACTTGCATGCACTTACTCCTCATTCTATCTGTGTTTTTTTTTAGGTGGCGGTGGGGTGGGAGTTGGGAGTGGAATTGACCGTTATGCACGTCCTAAGCATTTGATTATTGTATATTTGTCGATTGTTAGCTGCACCTACTATAGATAGAGAACTCGTGTTTGTCTTTCGCAGAATCTTTAGTGCATAATATTGTATAAAACTTAATTGTGTAATAAACATGGTTTTAGTCTCTTTCCCTAGACGTGTCACGAGCGTTTAAACAATGCACTTTTAAGCAAAACTAGTACAAAAGTTTTCTTGGTTATATACATTTGTCATCTTAAGTGGGACAGTTGTTTCTGAAAGACTCTTGTGATTGGCTGTTGCTATCCCAGTTTGAATTACTCCATAGTTTTGCTTATTTGAGTTCCTTCATCAGCTTTAGTGGGACCTTTATCACTGAGAGACTTGTGATTTGTTTTTATGATCACGTTCTTGATATTGGTCATGTAATCCAAATTTGAATAGTTGGTTATCATATCAATTATCAGCTAATTCCTGATTTCTGGCTTTGCAGATGGACCTATAACGATGTTCTTCTGGCCAAGTACAATGTGAAAATGGCTGGAATGAGTGCACCCATAGCCAAACCTAAAGGAAGCAAGAAACTGAAGGATTGGAAGACGCATTGAACTTTTTGACTTCCAAAGGGTCGAGCTAACGGAGAGAGAAGCAGATATTAGTAGAAGAATCCAGTCGTTCATTTCCAATTTAGACTTTTAATGCCTGTTACTTGCATTTATGCAACTTTTAACCATATACTGCATTTCATAGATATACTTTATGTACGGATGGTTATTGACATATCCGAGTGTGATTTGCACGGAGGATTGGTTCATTAACCTGCAGTTCATTGTAATTCTTGTAGAAGCCAGAAATAAACTTTCCGCTCCTTCACTTTGTGTAAAGATGAAGTTGAGTGCCTCAAATAACTGACATTATGTCACAATAAACTCGATTTTTTGGTACACAAAGTCGTACGAAGCCCTTACTTTTAGAATAAACAATTTTTTGCTTATAAGTAGGAAATAAATAACATGTCTAAACTTGTACAAAATAGATTATCATGCTCTATGAACATATAAAAACTCCTCCATTATCAATTTTATCTCACTTATAAATCACATTATTAAGGATGGTAATGGGACCAAGCTTGGGGTGGTTCTCCCACTTGTTATGAAATTTGAGATGGTCATATTTCAAAAGTTAGCTATTGAAATTAACAGGTTTATCCTGAAACAAACAGCTTTATCCTGAAATTAAAGAGTTCAACTTTATATATAAATTGCAATGGAAATCATGACAAATCATCACGCTTAGCGATCCCAACGTCCAAGTCGAATTAACTTTGCAATAGTTCATAACTACTCTCGGACGAACACTGCTATATCAATGTCATCATTTGCGTTGCTTGATTGCAATTGGAAGACATTGTGCCTGCTCTAATACCATTGTTATAAAATTTGAGGTTATTTGGCACATGAATTGGTCCATTATATTTGATTGTCAAATATTCATTTTTGAATTCGATAAAAATCAACTTTTTGAGGTTATGCATAATTTTGAAATTAAATAAAATTTATATATGAATTTTGAAATAAAATTCACTTTGTCATCAACTGTTAAAATTCACCTTGAAATAAGATATCTAGCTTGGATAGAGGAAGAAACAAAAATAGATGTGGTGCAATAGGCTTTGTTAGAGCATAAGCTAGCCAATACTTTGTAGAAATGCAAGACAAAACACCTTCGTAGAAATGTGCTTCATCCTTGACAAAATATTGGATCACAACAAATGTTCAGTTGACCTGTTAAGACTACACAAGTATTCATTAGCAGCTAAAATTTACTGCACCAATCCATGGTTCAAGCATTACCAGACATCAAACAACTCCAACACATCAAAATTCTATACAAATGAAAAGTAGAGTGACAAGGGCGCAATTGCTTTCCTACCACCTAAGAAAGCAAACTTATTACACTGAACTCAGAACAGAAAGTATCTCAACTAGTAATGAATTTTATTTACATGAAGGGATCTCAAAGGTACGCACATTTACTCATCGATTGTAACCTTGGGGATAAAGGGCACAACTGTAGATGGAAAATCTGTTCTCCGACCAACAAGTGAATAATAACCTAGAATTTTGGCTTTAATCTCAATGGTTGCACCTTCTCCATTTTCATTAGGAGTGGTGGCAACTTGTGCTGCTGGAATGAACTCAGTAATCCATTTTGGACGCTTCTTATGTACCTTATCCCAATCAGCTCCAGATTCAGTGTATCCCTGAACCCACAAATACCTCAACGAAGGTAGTCGTAGTATAGCATCTCCTAATGCACCTTCACTGAAGGGGCATCCATTCAATTCCAACTTTTGGAGGCTACGCAAGTCTTTGGAAAATTCCTTAATCCCATTATCAGATTCCCCAACAAAACCCAAAAGCATCCATCTCACTTTTGGACTATACTTTCCAATATAACTGAAACCCACATCTGTTAGCCCACCAGGCTGAAGATCCAAAGAAAGGCCAGTAAGTCTATCACATCCCATCAACAATGATCGAACTCCGTTATCAAGCGGAAAATTTGCTTTTGTCTCTTTATTTTTAAATAATCTCAACCGGAAGCAATAGAGCTTTTTCAAGTTCATGCCTACACATTTTAGGGATGCATTTGTGATGTTAGACGCAGCAATAGATAAGTATTCCAATTCAAAGCATCCCCGTGACAAAAAAATTAATCCCCAGTGTGTAATCACGCCTTCAAAGTCGTCATCCAAATTCCTGTATAACAATAGTCTTTTCAATTTCTTACAATTCATAGCAACAACTGCCAATCCTCTATCTCCAATCGTGTCCGTTCCCTGTTCACAAAGACAAAATCATGTTTAATTACTTAACTCCAAAATTTTATTAATGAACACAGAATATATCACATTCTGCATGGTTGATATTCTTAGACAAGATTTCTAGCACTAGATTGATTCTCCACAGACAAATAGTATTATAAAATGTGAATTTTAAACAAGATATATTTTTTAGGAAAAAAACACAATGCAATTAAAATCATGCAAATAAAAATCATAAACTTCATGATAATTCGAACCCCTCTCTCTCTCTCTAGTGCTAGTTCAAAAATATGATTCTACAATGATAGCCGCCTGTCTGGCTTTCAAATCATACATAAGAGAATGTCAATCAAAATAACTTTATAGCTAGCTAAATAGGATAGGATTGAAGTAAAAAAAAACATTTGGAAAAAGTAACTTACATTTTTTTATTCTAACTTTAAAGCACTATTGAAGCAAAAAGCAGGAACACAGTATAGTTTTATTCAATCACTCAACTTTATGAATAGCAATATTCTTATTTCTCCAGAGACATCATAAGTGTTGGCGTGAGCTGTTGATGGAGGATTTTGTGGAGAGATTATAGGGATTATTTTTCTGATTTCCACTGATCATGCAATACGATTGATTCTAGTCTAGAATAGTGCATAGCTGTTACTACCTTCCTAGAATAGATTTTTCTGTATATGTTATATAAGCACCCTCATGTATTCTGTGAAATATATCAATGAAATATACTTTTGCATCATGGTATCAGAGCAGAGATTCTAGGACCCCTAGATTTCTCTGTGAAATAGCAGAAAGAGGGAAAAGAAAGACCAGACAGATTGAGAACAATGGGAGAACGTGCTCCCTTGATAGAGCACTCCCAAGGAGAGAACTCTATCCTTGCAGACCTAACAACCAGATTGTCACAGATGTTAAACCAGACACAACCACCACCCCAATCAATTCATGAATCTATTACGACACCAATTATGGACCTTGGTCCCAGGTTGTTGAGATGTTTATCTCAGGCAAAGACAAGTTGGGATATATAAATGGGGACCTTCCACAACCCCAAGAGACGGATCCTAATTTCAGAAAATGGAGAACCGAAAATGCAGTTGTGAAGGGATGGCTGATTAATTCTATGGACCCAAAGCCGATCAACAATTACATCAGATTTCCAACGGCAAAAGCAGTGTGGGACGCTATTGCTATAACATATTTTGACGGCGCCGACACCTCACAAGTTTATGATCTCAAGAGGAAGGTGACGAGGCTCAAACAAGGCAGAGGATCTATCGAAACATATTACAACAACCTTCAAGGCATATGGAGAGAAATCGATTTTCGTCGTCCACATTCGTGAGCACTGAACCTCATCTATCCCTTATACCACAAGAGGACTCTTCTCCCGCTGCTGCAAACAAATCTGTAGCTCTAAGTAATTCAGGTAACAATGGTTGGATTGTCGATTCAGGGGCAACCGATCACATGACATTTGACCCGCAAGATTTTGTTGAATCAACACAACCAAAACGGACATGTATTGCCAATGCTAATGGAGTTACATATCCAGTTACAGGGGCTGGAAGAGTGAATCTTTCACCCTCTTTTTCATTACAAAATACCTTACTAGTTCCATCTCTTTCAACTAAACTATTATCTGTAAGCCAGCTTAATGAAGACCTAAATTGTTGTGCACTGATTTATCCGAGTTTCTGTTTCTCACCAAGGAGATTATTGGTCGTGGTACTAAAAGAGAGGGGCTATACTACATGGACGATTTCAGTTTCGGCAGGGTAAATATTGTGTATCACAATGGTGACAAAAAAGGACAGGTTTGGTGTGAAATTTTTTTTAAAAAAAGAGAGAGATAATGTAGAGTTTAACTTTAACCTCGAAGAATCTTTGATTCAAATTACTGAATTAGATTTCACTTTTATAGAAGTTTTAATTTTATTGAAAAATGAAAAAAGGAAAATTTTAAGATAAATATAAGAATATAATATATAATTTTAATGAACTTATATTGATGTTCCCCGACGTATCGTGTTCTACCTCTTTAAAAGATCATATATCAATGTGTGATTGTCACCCCATATACTTTTGCATGCTTGTATCCGTGCTTCTTACTTCTTTATCCATCAGAATAGAAGACTGGCCTACAAAATTACTTGTGACCAATTCTGCCGAAGAAGATATAACATTCAACAATCTAAGGAAAACCAACAAACACTAAAGGAAATGCATATGCATGATTACACAAAATAGGAAAAAAACAATTTATAAGTTTTACCTGAAGCATTTCCAAGTTGGGACACCTTTGCAGTAATTGACAATAATCTTCTGTATCAAGCATAGCTACTAGCAGATCCAATTTTTTAAGTCGAGCAGCAAAAGGAAAGACCATCGGAAAGTCTACATTAATCAAGTCCTGAATACCCAAGGAGCACAATCTTTGGGGAAATGCTACCTCTGCATACTCTTCAAATGGTCCAAAAAAGCCCCCCCAAAACTCTTCTAATGCAGCTGCATTGCGGAAGAAACCAACGAGGTCAGCAATATCAATTTCAATATAAATTTTCACCTTGACCAGAGATGCACAGTTTTTGGCTATCAGTTCAAGGTCTCTAGCTTCGACTTCAACAAGCTTTGTCAAGTACAAGTTCAAATTTTCAAGGACTTTATTGTTCAGAGCAAGCTCATGCAGCCATTCCCCGTCCTTCTCAATTATTTTGCTACCTTCCATATCCAAGGTCCTCAAACTCCTGCAAAGAAGTAAAGAATTTTTTTGAAAAAATGGAACCAATGACATCAACATATCATTCAAATTATATTTTCAAAGGGGATATATATTTAAGGGAAATTTATTTTATACATATGATTTTGAGGAAAGATAAAAGACGTAATCTAATCCATCGATATGTTCTTCATTATCACTATACTCAAGGTAATAACCCCTTATTTCCAAAACCAATATATACTCATAGACATGTATTTGGCCACCTATCTGTGTTATTTATTCACTTGGTTATAATTCTATGATTATTTATTGAAGAAATACATCTTATTTAGAGATTATAGTCGAACATTCAGAGGCACGGCACATATAATGAAGTTTGGTTAAAGAATAGAAGGGAGAAATAATATTGTTTAAATAATATTGCAGCATAAAAAAATCAGATGAAGCAACAGATTAGCAAGTAATGAGTAATAATAAGAAAAGAAGGAGAACAAAAAATACTAAGAGAAATTTGTTGATTCTGATTTTAGTTCAGCAGAAGTACACGAAACATGCATCATCCAAGTATTTTCTATTGATGTGGACAGATTACATTAACTTCAGAGAAGTGGAATAGAAAGGGATTAATCTTTAACAGATAAAGATAGAACAGAGGGATTAATCATTTTCAATAAGGCATCATCATCAAAAAGTTGTTTTGACAAATAAGCAAAACAGACCGTCATTCCAATAAGGCTCAAATATTTTTTATTTTATTTTTTTTAATTTCCACAAGTCTGCATATCATTCCGAGTTGGATGCTTTATTTTTTTTCTACATCTAGTGACCCCAATTCCTCTGCAATCCCCTGCTGTACCTTCCATTGGCCTTCTTGGGATTAAAAACATCAAGATATCGAAAATACTATAAATGTGTTATTTTCGACACACTAATTCATTGAAACATGATAGTTGATCAATGTGATGATTCGTCATACATATGAGTACTATCTTTATCTTCATTTGAAACGATCACTGCTTCCTCGGAAGTCGGAAATTTCAATTCAAGATTTTGTTAATCTTGAAATGTCAAGAAAGAATATTGATATGATAGAAAAATAAATAAAATTAGGGAATTGCGGCCTTGTTTAACTACAAAGTAGAAGTAACTCTACTTTTTATCTTTTTAGGCTTCCAAACATGTTGGACGTGATTCTAGATGAACTAAACTATCCGAGTAACTTCCTTAACACGGATCTGTTACTTAAGTACACACATCTATACATACATTTATACGGTGCATCAAGAGTTAGTAATACTTAGAAAAACTCAGTCAAGATCCTCAAGGCTCTAAATAAAAAATGTACATAAACACCATGGCAAACCGAAAGTTTTAAACAAAATTAGTGAAAAATAGGAAAAGAAATCAGGACATAACAAAATTAATACCGGAGAGAGCGACAGATATGCAAGAGTCCATCGGTCGAAAATCCAAAGCATCTATCAAGTTTCAACACTTCAAGACCCTTCCCAATTGCTGTAGCAGCAATCAATTCAAGGTCAGAGTCCTTAACTATCATTCTACGAAGATGAAGCGCCTTCATTTTTTTGAAAGATTTGACAATTTCCTCAATCCAGGGCGTAGCATAGCCGCCCCAGTCATCAGGAAATTGGCTGAACATAGAAAAGCGTGGTAGTCCCTTGAGCTTGAGCGACTCGAGGTTGGGGAACCGTCGAAAGAGGAGGTCCGGAGTGGCGGCATAACACAGTGCAATAGTGACATGCTTTCGCGTGAGGGAATCAATATTATGCCACTGTTTGCACACCAGAGAAACCGAAGCCCGATCTTGCGGTTCCTTTACGTATGGAATCACGCAGTCCCAAACAGCGTCATCTGTTCTTGCGGCTACTTCACCGCTGCCACTTGCCTCGCTCATACTGGCAACTGCACTATCACTATTAGAGTGTGAGAAATCACAAAGAAAAGGGAATTGAAACTGATGAAAATGCTGTGAAAATTTCTAATGTAACCAATTGGGAAAGCGGGAAAAGCAACTTGAGAGAGAGATTGTTAACCAATTCGGAAAGCGGGAAAAGCAACTCGAGAGAGAGATTGTGAGATGGACTTTGCCCAGTACAAATACCGCGGACAGCTGTATACCGGCGTATAATACAGCTGTCCGCTGGCAATTTTTCTAGCGAGACTGAGAGAGAGAGCTCGAATTCTGCCTTCAACTCATGGAAAAAAAATTAATTTTAATCTTTTGTTTTCAATTCTTTGCCACTGAAAATTTTCCAAGGAATGAAAATATTCGAGTAAATAGTAAACACATGTTTTTTATAATTAATTTTGAATTTTACATTCTTTCAATAAATAATCTTTGCACTTACACCCATAAAATTCTATTTAATCACACAATCTTTAAATAATTTACCTTTCACAAAAGTTATTTTCGAAAATCTACGAGTCCATTTGATTGCAATGGTGAAAAATGGGTGAAAAGAAAATGAATTCCAGATAAAGTAATTATCTAGAAATTACTTTGCATGGAATTGTTAATTAAGTGTGTTTAATTGGTATAATTTTCCACCCAAAAAATTTTAAAATTTGGTGTTCGTTTGGCTTTGTTTTACATGAAAATTGTCCATTAAAGTGATAATTTTTTCCACAATTGATTATAAAATTTATTTCCATTATCCATATAATCATTTTTTCATCAAAATTTAGTGTTCGTTTGACCTTATTTTACATGAAAATTGTCCATTAAAATTAAATTTGTTTCCATTGCTAAAAAAAAGGAAAAGGTTCGAATCAGATTTCCCATCAAATTTGCAAAATTTAATTAAGTTTATCATTAACAATAAATTTCAAATTTTAATCCACCAATATTTCTAACTTTGCTAAAATTATGTAAAATATTAATGATCATCGAGAAACTATAATTTTATACTTTAATTTAAACCAATAAGTGCATATTCTAGCCATTTTTCGATATGCACAATTGCGTAGGAGGTGGGTATTTTTACCCACAATCACTCGACCCATACTAGTCGGATCGATTCGATTTTCAATTTATAATCGGTTCGTTCCTTGATCATGGACTCGAGAACCAAATGTTTTGGTACGATTTTCAATTCATAAATAATTTTTTATAATCTCATATTAAAATTGTAATTTATATAAATTCATATTTACATTGAATAATTGAGTGTGTGTTATTATCTAAAATGTAAATCATGAAAACGAAACGAGAAAATGTACATAATAATTTAGTGTTCGTTTGGTTTGGATTAAAATCTGATTTTAATTTAAGTCAAAGTTAAACAATCAATATTAACCACATCTTTCATAGGTTTCACAACTTTTCAACCACACATTTCAAAAATTTCTATGACAATCTATTAAAAAATCTAATTTTAATCCACAACAAACACTCTCTTAGACTTAACATTTATTTCTAAAGCATAAAAAATAAAACTAGAATCAATAGTTTAATGAAAAAATAGCGACCTCACCTAGGTTCTTTTTTTTT